AGGTCTTCCCCTACAGCCGCCTGCGGGGCAGAGCCCGCCGGCCCCCCGACCTCAAGAAGTGGGGGGTGAAAAGCGGGTACCTGCCCGCCTGCGGGAACAAGGTACGGGCTGGGTGACAGGGTCCGGCCTGGGTGGCAGGCGCAGGATCTGTCTCTCTGCTGACATCCACCCAAATCGTCCCCTCGGGTGGGACAGTGGCTCTGCAGGGGATGGTGGTGCCTTGTCCCCTGTCCCAGCTCCATCCCTCCCCGCCGGGTTGCGGTGGCACCAAAAGTCACTCGCTCACGGCGCTTGTCATCACCAGACCCTGACTGCCCGCTGCCACCAGTGCGTCATCGTCACCAGCTCCAGCCACCTCCTGGGCACCCGCCTGGGCACGGCCATCGACGGGGCTGAGTGCACCATACGCATGAACGACGCTCCCACCACAGGCTACGAGGTCGACGTGGGCAACAAGACCACCTTCCGTCCCCCCCCCAGCCTCTACCGCGTCCTCAAGCGGCCCCAGGAGTTTGTCAACAAGACCCCGGAGACCATCTTCATCTTCTGGGGGCCGCCCGCCAAGATGCAAAAGAGCCTCCTGAAAATCATCCAGCGCGTCAGCGCCTCCTTCCCCAACATGACGGCCTACATCGTCTCCCCCGGCCGCATGAAGCAGTTTGATGACCTGTTTCGGGGGGAGACAGGGAAGGACAGGTACCTCGGAGCCTCCTCCAGCACAATGTCCCCCCCCTTTTTCCGGGTCCCCGGGGCAGAGCTGGCTCTTGGGGCTGCTCCATGGGATGGGCTGCTGCACCAGGCTGGGGGTCCGTGAGGCAGGTTGGGGACCCTGGGGGGTTCGTCACCTACATCACCTCTTGCCCCTGTCCCCCCCACCCCGTTTCTCCTCCCCAGGGAAAAGCATGGCTCAGCACCGGCTGGTTCACTATGGTGATAGCGGTGGAGCTGTGCGACGCCGTCCACGTCTACGGCATGGTGCCGCCCAACTACTGCGGGTAAGGAGAACCCCGAGCCCCCACCCCGGCCCCCTGGCTCCACCGTGAGGCTCACCCTATGCTTCCCCCCA